TGCAATCAAGGTTCACCACAACCTCTGCCTTTCAGATTCAAGTGATTCTCCTGTCTCAGCCTTCCTAGTAGCTGGGATTACAGATGCCCATCACCACGCCCAGCTAATTTTTGTATTTTTAGTAGAGGTGGGGTTTGGCCATGTTGCCCAGGCTGGTGTCGAACTCCTGACCTCAGGTGATCCACCTGCCTAGGCCTCCCAAATAGTGTTAAGTTTCTAATGGAGCCCGGTCACAAGCCAACGGCTGTTTTACATATATATATATATATATATATATATATATATATATATATATATATATATATATATGTATATGAGAGGATGATGTCTGGGAGGATGACATATATCCTCCCATATATATATATCTGGGAGGATGGCATGTCTGTGCCTAAAATTCTGAGGACTACCCAGTGATTCACCAAGAAGGACTGAACAAAGTTTCCATGCAGCATCTATTTCTGCCACAGATACTTTGAGCACCTTTGAATGTGCTGGGGTATATAGCCCAAGTGGCAAGGCAGATTACATAGTAGCCTGGACCTGTTTCAGATTATTCTCCTATTCTGTGCTCTACTCAAAACTTGCAGCCTTTTGGATTACTTGCTCAATATATTCAAGTAGCAGATCCAAATGAGCTGTATGTTATCTTCACATCTAAAGAACCCCCTTAAGTATCAAGGGGTTAACTAAGAAAGTTAGTCATGTAGGGCAGCAGTTTACCATTTACCTTAGGGTGTGTATATTCACATGCCCCAGACCACTGATCCTCTACAAAATTAACTAATGTGACTTTTTGGTGACAAAGAAAAGAATTTGAGGCAATACGTTTCCATGTATATGTCTTATACAAGTGTTACAACAGTTTCTACTTCCTGCTTTCCTGCTTTAATCAACATGATATCATCAATGAAATGAACCAGCATGATGCTTTATGGGACAGAGGTGATCAAGATCCCTGTTGACTAGAATATGACATAAGGTTAGAAGGTTGATATAATAACCCTGAGTATATTGCTGTCTCTACCAGCTGAAAGCAAACTGTTTCTCATAATCTTAATGATAGGTTAGAAAAGACAAGAAAAAGGAAAAGAAATTCCAGATCAATACGTGCATACCAGGTGCTAAGGAATGTATTGCTGGGCTCAAGCAACAAAACTACATCTAGATCAATAGCTGTAGTTGGAGTCAGCATCAGATTAAATGTATGATAGTTTATTCTCATTCTGCATTGTTTCTAAACTTATAAACAAATCTGACTCCTAAAAAGTAAGTGAACAAGTGTGATTTAGTAAAATAAATCCCAAAATAATGGTAACATTTTGCTGACTTATATCAATAGAGAACTGAAGAACAAATATGGGCACTGATGCCAAGGGTATTAGATCAGAGGTATAATGTTGGAACATGAAGAATTTATGGATTAGAGTGGACCAGGCCAGGATTCTTGATCCAATGTATTTGGGACACTAAGAGTGACTCTAATAGTTTGCTTTGTTAACTAAACCATTGACCTAAAGAAAGTATACATTAATGAACTGAGGAAATGCCAGAGGAAGGCATCTAACTTTGGTGAGATCAGGATGCTAAAGTGGTTTTATTATGTAAAATCTTTTCACGTAGCCTCTATGGCTCATAAGAAGTTCCAAAGAGGCTTTCAACCCCAAGGCCAGAAATACATTTATGAAGGAAATCCTACCATTCTTGAATAGATCCATGGTGGCTATTCTCAGTGAACACGCATGACAGTGGAAACTGCTACCATTAAATTGGGATCCTTGAATTTAATCAGGATGGTGGTATCCTGGAGTGGCTGGTGCCGTTTCAAGTCAGTCTTCAAATCACTTCTGTTTCTACAGGTTAAATAAGACTTAAATGGGCTGTCCTATTTTTGTTCTGGGAACATCATGATCAACTAACTAATTCCAAAGAATTCTCTGGATCAAGCCATTCTGTTTACTGCTTTGGCTCTGCTGCCCATCACAAAACCATGCCCACCTTGTCCTCTAAGCTGAAGACAGAAAAAAAACTCATTTAAAAACAATGTTGTTTGCCAGATGCTAGAGAAGAGTAAGTTTAACAGTGACTTAGGCAAAATCTACAGGGTAAAGTGTTAAATAAACAATTTAGAAAATAAATTAACAGATAAATTAAGAAGTTAGAAAACGGTAAAGTGGTCTCATTTGTGCCTTGAATGAGTTTACTCAATCAGGAAAACAGTTATATATTATAGTATGAAGTTATTCATACATTTCATGTGAACAAATAGCATGATAGAGAAAACCTGGATTTTATTAATAACAGTAGAATCACAAATAAAAATTCCATTCTAATTTGCACTGATTAGTCCATATATGAACTGCCAAGCCATGCGTTGAATATAATATTTTAAAAGAAGTGTTAACCAAACAGAATAGCCCACAAGCAAGAGACAAGCTCGATAAGGACTCTGGATAATGCATCATATTTTAAAACGATTGTAGTAACTGGAGTTTTATCTCTAAATACAAAATAAAACCAATATCATTAGTGGTTTGGGAGAGCACCTGCCTTTATTTGAAGTGTGAGCATGTGAACTAGGAAACTGATTTATTTCGGATATCTTCACAGGAAGATCCAGTAACAAATCTATACATTTCCAAGGAGAAAGGTTTAGGTGCAATGTTCAGTAAAACCTTCTACTGGTAGTTGCTCAGTAGAGGAATTAACTGCTTTAGAAACAAGAAGTTCTGTGCTCTTGGAATGTTCACACAGAAGCTGATTTTCCATTTTCTGTGCCTGTTTTGGTTGAAGACATTCCTGCAACCTCAAACAAAGGATGTTAAACGACCTGACCTGTAAGGTCCTTTCGAATCTTAGAGTCCATGAAGAGTGAGCAGGCAATATAAAAGAAAGGAAAAGGAATTTCTGAGATGTATGGGGCAAGCACTGTGGGCAGGCCACGAGAGACAAGTTGGTGATTCACAAATCTTGATCTCTACACATCCATCATATGTCACAATCTGTCATATCTCCCTTAAAAATACAGGAGTTAATTAAACTGGGCTTGCAAATTCCATTTGGCTTCACCGAAAAGGGGACTGAGATGTTTACTAAGAACTTTTAAAAATTGAGTGTAAAACAGCACATGAGATACAAGACCTAGGTTGAGAATCAGTGTCCTGACTTAATTCCTCATATTTAACATTGGCTGTGGGCCTGCAATGAAATATGGCTCATTTTTTTTTTTTTTTTTTTTTTTTTTTTTTTTTTTTTTTGTCTTCGGCTTTGAGGCTAAAGAGAGGGTTTAGCAGAAGATATCATAATTCCTTTTTGTGGATACAGAATTATCCCAAGCAGCTGTCACATCAGGTAGAATAAGGCAAGTATCGATCGACTCTCTGTAACTCCAAGGCCTCAAACAGAGTTTTTCCTTAGCCTCTGGGGAACTGGTATCTACAAGGAAATCAAGAGGCCTAGTCCCCTAACTGCTTTCGGAGCACGTTGTGGGAGGTGCAGACCAAAGGTGAATTTACACATCAGTGACTAAAGTTTCCTGCCACTAAGCATAAGAAGTCACTCATGAGCAGCGTCCCTAAACCACAGCTACAGGATGTGGGCACAAGCCCTTGTATAATTGTTGGCCAAGAGCCAATGAGCATTCATCCCTGTGCAAATACCTTGGCTTTTTTATGTTGTCGTTAACCTTTGAAAACCACAGGCATTAGTCTCTCTCTTTCTTCCCCTTGGCACAAGTCATCTTCTTTTCTCCAACTTGGTCTCTTGTGTGTAAAGAATTTCTGAGGAGCTTTTAAGCCTAAATTTAATACTTTTGCCCTCCCCTCTCCTGCCCTACAGAGTGCCAGCAGAGGTAAGCTGCCTTACAAAATATCTGCTGGCTCTGCTAGCTTCCGCGGCTTTGTTTGGGCCTTTTTATCAGATAGGAAATGAGGGAGTTCTATGAGTGTCCTTAGCCTTTAAGAAAATGAAGGCAATTTCTGGAAATTCCTCCGAAACAACTGTGCCCTATTGTTTCCTCACTTCAAAACGATCTCAACAACTATGATACATCCATTCAGATGGCATGTCTTTCCCAGGGAATACAGATAATATATTGCAAAGAGCAGTGGGTAGGAAAAGAAATTGGAAAATTTAGTCTAATCTCAGTATTTCCAATAATTCACCATCTACTTTTTGAGAAATTTCTTTCCAGTTTCTAGGCCCTTGTTTCATGCTCTGCAAAATAAAAGCGCTGAATTTACATGGTTTTTCTGCATTATTATCACCAGGACTCTATAAATTGGCTTCCTAAGAATGTTTCAACAAAGGATCAGTATAAAGTGGACCTCAAGGCGAATGATTCAAAAGTAGCCAACTTATAAATGAGTTTCTCTTTTCTGCCTTAGATTACCAACAACCAAAGGTTAGGTCTCCAAAAAAGCCCAATTGACCACTGAGCACTCAGTGAGGAGTGAGTCCCGGTAATCGTTTAAAACTCCTCCTGTAGTGTCAAAAAAAAATCGATCTGCTCTGAACTCTCTCACCCTCAGAACTGCCTAAGATGTATCAGCAGACTGTGAGGCATTTGTCAATGGAGCTGTTCGAGCAGTTTCTGAAACAAAGCTTATCAGAGATTTTTCAAGCGAAAATCGCTGAATGAGATAAAGATCAAATAATGAAGACCTCCAACCATGACATTTTGGTTACGAAATGCTTTGTACTGTACCTAATGTATCTTGTGTCTATTCCTATTACCAATCAAACTCATGATGCCATTTGCAAAACTGTACTGGTAAGTTCAGATGATAGCCTGATAAAAATTCCAAGCGTACGTATAGGTCCCCCGGTTTGTGACCCCCTGTTGAGCTTAAGGACAAGTCCAAGTAAGAACACCAAGTGCAAAATAAGAAAACCATAGTCAGTAGGTCCATGGGAGTGAAGAAACAATTTCTGGAGGAAATTTAGTTCCCTTGGATGTTTTCCCACCTTCTGCTGCAAAAGTCTCATCACTCTCTAGGCAAATTCTCAAAGCTTTCTATTCAATACAAGAATTTCACCTCGTTTCACTGAATCCTCACAAGATGAAATAAGCAAAAGTAATATAATTGTCTCCATTTGCAGCTGAAGAAATTAAACCTTAGGAAAATCATGGAAATTTTTCAGGGTCTCCCTTGATTGATCCAATTCTTTCTTAAGAAAAAAATGGGTCTAATTCACTAATTACTAGCAACAATTTTTTTGGAAAATCCTAGGGTCACTGACCGTAAGAGCTTATGTCAACCATTTCTCCAAATGATATCATGGAACAATTTCTCTCACAACAGCTACTTTAGTCTTTCCTTGAACATGTCAAGTGATGGTGGGCTCACTGTTTAAAGAACCCATTCCACCATTGAAAATTTACAGCTGTAAGAGGTTCTTTCTTATCTTGAACTGCTATCCAAATTCCTAAATCTTCTCACCCTTTGGTCATAATATTGCTTTCTAGATCCCATTTATCAATTCATGGGATATCCTATCTATGATAGTTTTTATGAAACATGAAGGGAATTCACAAAGACTCTCATGTCATCTCTGAATTCACACTTTATGCGAAACAGCTTTGCTTCCATTCAATGCTTATCCTATTGTTACAGACTGGCTCTCAAAACTAAGAACCATCTCCCTCCTGTCCTTCTTTCTGAATTGTTTCCATTGATGATGGTGCACTGTGTCCTTTAGAAGGTCACTTGGGAACAGTCTGGCTTAGGTTACAAAGGGAACAAATGTGCAGAGAGAAGTCGATTGTCAGGCTGATCCTTAAATGGTAACTCAAAAGAATGTGTTGGACATTTCAGAGGCTTCTGCCAATAAATGCCACTATCTTGAGGCGAATGGGGATTTTCGGGCAGCAGTATTATAATAATTTGCCAATTATGCCTGCTTCAGAACCAGTGCCAAAACAATACAACGACTTTTCATTCCACTACTGTTGACAGGACAGCTATGGATTTCAACATTTCCTTTTAGAGTCTGAATAGAAGTTCCCTGCCTTGGGGACTATAACAATATTTGCAATCATGGGGGGAAGAAAAAGTGGGTGCTATAAAGGCAGAAGAGAGGGAAAGAAAAAATATTAATGGAAGTAAACAAAGACAAAATAAAATGAGGGTTATTCAAGGTTTGGAATTTAAATGCCTGCATCAAACTGATGTTTATAAATATATCAGAGGACAAATCTTCAAAATTGAGGAAGCAAGCTTTTCAAAGAAAAAACATTAAAATTCACAAAAGCCCCCCCAAAAAAGTTAGCTGGAATCTTCAACCTAAATATCAACCAAGATGTGTCCAATGCGAGTCTTGGGAAAGGCAAAATAGCTTTTGTAGCAATGTGTATGCAGTCAACGTTCAAAGTTTTTTATTCTAAATAAATGTAAATAAAATAAGATTCTAAATAAAAAAAGAAAAGAAACTTGAGAGATGCAAAAATATGAGGTAATTTCCTGGGTTGTTGAAAATTAGATCTAAGTCAGGAAGAAACAAAGAGGAAATAAGAGGGAAAGAGCAAGGAGAATAGAGTGGGTTAGGACAGTGTTTTTGAAAACAAGGTCTTCACAACCCTCTGCAATCCATGGGCATTCCATATACAGCACCTCGAGGCCTACAAAGAAAGATGGCTGTGGCATTCTCATCCTCATTCCAACCATAGTGATCCTACTTTTATCTGCTTTGTATATTATGCTTCTGCAAAAGATTTCACAAGAAGAAAAGGATCTGCTATTAAAAATGTATTTGAACAGAAGACGGCAAAAGTAAATGAGCTAGAAACCAAGTGCAGGATAGATTGAAACAGTCTTGGAGTAAGGATTCCATTTAACAGACTGTGTTAGTAATTGGATGAGTAGAATTAAAAACCTGATCTAATAATACAGCTGTAAGAACGGTAAGGAGAAATATGTGAGCAATTTTAAAAAAGAATGAGCTTCAAGTTTGACATCTTGGCACTGGAATAAAATGCTAAGCCATATATAGATGTGATAGTATATAGGATATAATTGGTAAGGAAGGTAGAGAAATCAAAATTGACAGAATTCAGGTATGGATACCTGAGACCACATAAATGCTACAGAGAAATCCAGGATTTTGATGATGCTCAATGTAAGAGGCCACTGGAACACCGATATGTAGATGATTGGCAGACAGAAATGCAAAGCTGAATCTTGGAATAAATATTGGGAATGGGAATATAAATTTGGAAGACTTCCTTATAAAGTCGTAGCTAAAAATCTAGAGACAGTGAGACCCCAATGAGAGAATAAACCAGGATAAGAGGGCTAAAGACCAAGACCTTTAAAAAAAGATGACTATACTTAAAGAGCTGAAGTAACAAGACCTAAAGAGTCTTCTTTCCTGTGCAATGATCAGGCACTCATTTGATAACAATATTTGATAGTCTCAGCAGCATTTATGTTCTAGTTTTAAGGAAATTTGGTTATTCTTGTATGAGGTCTAAAGTGTGTATCTATCAGTCCAATCAAGCTTTTAAATTTCCTGAAATACTAAATATTCAAAATCATGAAGTATTATTTAAAAGTAATTAATTGTTTCAGTCCAAAAATAGGGTGGGTGAAAATGGAATTTTCCAAGTGACGTATCTATGGATAATATGCTTATGGTACCAAAAAGACTCTCAAAAACCAATACTCCCACGGGCGAGGGAATAGCCAAGTTTGTTGCGGTTTCCAATGAATGACATCAGCCCTGTGTAGGTCTCAATCAAAATGGGTTCGGTTAACACCATCAGTTTCTTTCCTCTTCCAGATCCAATTGAATTCTTGTGGGCATTCTGGGTAGCTGGAACAAGCTTAGACACAAACCCAGATAACTGAAGGAGAGAAAAAGCACACAGTTAGTTATTGCAGATTACGATGAGACATATACTCACTTCCCCAGCCAGTCTTCACCAAAGTTGACTTCTCTCCTGGGGCTGCAGTTATTCTTACTTCTTAAACACAACTGGTTAACTTTAACTCTATTCAGTTAATACAATTAATAACTGTGCTTGGTTGGGTGCTGTGGTTCACCCCTGTAATCCCAGCACTCTGGGAGGCTGAGGCAGGTGGATCACAAGGTCAAGAGATCAAGACCATCCTGGCCAACATGGTGAAACCCCGTCTCTACTAAAAATACAAAAATTAGCTGAGTGTGGTGGTGTGCACCTGTAGTCCCAGCTACTCGGGAAGCTGAGGCAGGAGAATTGCTTGAACCCAGGAGGTGGAGGTTGCAGTGAGCCGAGATCGTGCCACTGCACTCCAGCCTGGCGACAGAGCGAGACTCCGTCTTAAAAAAAAAAAAAAAAAAAAAAACTGTGCTTAACTCAGTTAAGACTAACTTTCCTCAGGCCCAATTTTGCTTCTTAGAGTCAGAAATAATATGTGATTTTTCAGTTTTTTTACCATCCACATAAGTCTACCAAGTACCATTTTGGTTTTAGCTGCTTTAAGTTTTTTGTTTGTATACAAATCATTTGCAACTAACTCTCTTTGTCTCTAATAGATAAAACGGCACCTGAAGTTACTTAAGAAATATTAATAAACCACCTACAACACATTCCAGGAACATTTTAAATGCAGTGAACAGATAGGCAAAAAAAAAAAAAAAACCCTGCTCTCATGGAGCTTACATTCTCATGATTGCAGACGAAACGTATTAAGAAAAATTTTGATGGTGATAAAGTCTGGAAGGAAAATAAAATGTGGGAAAGGGCTAAAAAGTAATGAAAGTTAGAGATACTTCACATACTGTATTCATGGCAAGTCTTTCTGAGGAGGAAAAACTTGAACTGAGACCCAGATAATAAAAAGGAGCTAGCTATATGAAGAAGGAATTCCAAGTAGAAAACACAGCACCAGCAAAAGCTGTAAGGGAGGCATGAATTTAGCGTCTTCAAGGAACACAGAAAAGGCCTGTTAGACAGAAGTCTAGGGCTCACAGGAAAGAGGATGGAGCACTAGGTATGAAGAGTCTTTGGAGCCATATTAAGGGCTTTGTATTGATGTGATTGTAAGAAGGAGTTTAAAGTTATATAGGTTTTATTTTAAAAATGGTAATAATCCTAGCTGCTACGTGGAGTCAAAAATGGAATGCTGTTAGGGCTAAGAGTGGAAGCAGGAAGACAAGATGAGTTTGGAATTCACTTCAGGAGTCCAGGCAAGATATGATGGTGGCTTGGACAGTGCAGCAGTGGAGACCATGAGAAATGGCTAAATTAGGCTATTTGGGGGTGGTGGGGTACAGCCAAGGAATTTACTGGTATGGTTGAATTTCGGGATGAAGACAAGAGAAGGATTAAAAATGACACCCAAATTTTTGGCCTGAGCAACTGGGTAGATAGTGATATTATTATTGAATTGAGAAAGTCTAGGAGAGGCACAGATTGGAAATGGTAAGATATAGGGATGGAGGATTTTGCTGCAGACACGTGGTTTGAGCTATCTCACAAGGAATCCTCTCAGAGATTTTCAATAGGCAACTAGATATAGAAGATAGGACCATGAAGAAATGTACAGATAAAAAGTCCATGTCTATAAATTTTCTATAATAATAATCACAGACCCAGAAGTCAAGAATGATATTCATAAAGTGAAGTTAATAGCCTAAACATGATAGGGTGTGGGAGAGAGAGAAGGAATTAACAAATTCAGGAAACTCTTGTTGGATAAGATACTAGGCATTGCGGGCAATGTGGAAGGGATTTGATAGGTAAACTGAGGTTCTAAAGGTTACAGGGATCTGTCCAATACCAAAGAACTAGTAAATGATTGAGCAAGGGGTTGGACGCAGGTCTCCTGACTTAGCTCCTGAAGTCCTCTCTGTTATGAGCAGGATTATAAAATCCTAATTTTTAGAAGATTCAGTTTTAAAATTCTGCTATGTAGGGAAGGATTCCTGTTCCTCATTTGCCAAAGAGAAAATATTACACTCATTAATTTTTAAACCATGTTCCTTAGAACAGTAGATCTCTTCATAGATTGGGTGACTACATGTAATTTATCATCCAAACCTAAATTCTTTTGAAAAGAAACTGCTATTGTAAATCATGTTGGGGCAACAGGTACCTGAGGGTTTGAGGAAAAGTTGTCAACAAAAAAACAAAAGCCAAGCAGGTAACTTGTTCTAGTCCCTTCAATCAAATCAATCAGAGCTGCTCTATTTTTATCATCAGTTTTATATATTTGAGGTCCAAGTAAAATTTTATTTCCAAAAGGCTTCTTTTTAAATGACAATCGCTTGCCTAGGAATCTTTAGCTCTGGCAATCAATGATTTAATCCAAAAGGATCTATAGCACCCCCTCTCCAACACATCTCTCAAAACCAAGCTTAAATCTTACATCTTCCGCAATGCCTTCCCACATACTCAAGGGAAATATTAACCTTTTCTTCTATTATGTTTTACCTTGACCTATACCTCCACTCAAATATTTCATCTGATTTTTTATGAAGTAGGGTCAAAAATGTGGCTGTCTGTACAGCTAAACCAAAGTTTCTCCACCTTGGGACTATTGCTCCTTTAGGCCAGACAACTTTTTGCTATGGGGGAGAATGTCTTCTGCACATAAGGATGTTAAACAGCCTCTCTATCCTCCACCCACCAGATACCAGACAGGCTTCCACCCCAGATGTAACAACCAATAATGTCTCATTGGGACACTGGGACATCGTCAAATGTCCCCCGTGGGCAAAATCGCCCTCTCTTGAAAACCACTGAACTAAAGGAAATGCAGGAGCAGGCGAAGCTGGTCTTAAGTTAGATCTATGGGACTCACTAGCTGTGTGATTTTGGGCAAGTTATCTAACCTCTCTTGATTTTATAGTTCCTTTGCCATAAAATAAGAATGTTAATAGCATCAAACTTATCAGGTAGTGTTAAAGATTAAGTGAAATAAAGCTTGTATGCAAACTGTGAATGGAGGTGTGCAGACACATGCACCTGTGTGCTCAGGCATTATATAAAGGGTTAGGAAAGCAGAATGAGACGAGCCTGAAATTTGGAGTTACATTGCAAAGGCCATAAAGGAATCTTGTTGCCAGTAATCAATAAATATTAACTGTTTAATCATCACTGACCTCATCCTCATCGCCATTATCAAACCATGAGCTCTTAAAAGTCAAAGTATAATTCATCTCAACAATTCTATTGCAACACTCTGGATTATCAGAATGCCTTTTCATAGATCAATAAATCTTGTCCAGTTGGATTACTGAATGCTTCCTCAGGCTTCATCATAAACTTCATTTCATGAGAATCCTCTGTGGCCTCAAAATCAAAGTGCTAGAAAGTAAAAGTTGGTACTATTTCATACTCAATGAAGTTGGCATTTCACTGGAGTCAGATGCCCTTCATTTCTAGTCATTTCTAGGAGCCCCTTTAAAGCCAGGGGTGGGCATGGTTACAGAGAGACAAGCAGGGTGACAAGCAGTGCACTGAAGGAGAGGCAGACAAAAGGCCAAGTTCCTGAGCTGACTCCTGAGCATTTCAAGCACCTGAACTAAATCTATGTGACAGGAATGCTTGTCATCTGATATGAATGCCACCAGCCACATACTTTTCTCTAAAAGCTTGTATGCACCCACCTCTGGCTATCTCTTTTATTTCAGTCCCAAATACAGAGGGCCAGATTTTAACAACTCCAGTTACGCAGGGGCTGTGTGTTGGTTAGGACAAAGTATAGCAGTGTGCCTGGTGGGGGCTGGGGGCATACAGTATTATTCTTGACTTTCCACCAATTATTTACCAGCTAAGTGCCTGGTCCACAGGTTTGCTCTAGGTGCAGTCTGCCAACAGTTCATTGCCTAGGGTATCAGTTTTCTTTATTACAACCATCACTTGCTTCCTGTTTACACTGAGTAAAGAGACCAGGTTTCACGCCTGTAGGCCCACATTCCTCAGCTGAGCTGGTTTTCCAAGCCTGCAGGCTACAGGTTTTAGCCTCCCTACATCTGGAAGGAAGCCTCCTGTCATAGAGAGCAAGCCCGTCTAATACCCAGTACTTGAAATCACTTGAGAACTCACATTGCTGGACAGACTGTATACATCATCCTTGCACATTTTGCCTGGGATTATCCTTATAGAGACCCTGTGACTATAAATTCAAGTGTGTACATAGAAATAAGAAGAGGCAGTGGCTTCTTTCTTCTTACACAAGAGAGGCTTCTACCCATTGTAATTTCCATCTTCATCCTATCCCATCCCTAGCCCTCCTCTCTGAACACATGCAAATATGCACACATACGCACACATACATAGTGCTCTTTAACTTTAGCTAAACTGATTTAGTCTTTATCCAAGAACACTTTGTATACATTTTGTAATTTGCAGCTTTTAAGCATGTTTCTTCTGCTTAAAATGTCTTTTCCCACCTCGTTTGATGCTTCAATCACCCATACCTTAAGTTTCATATCAAATGTTATCACACTTGTTAACTTTTGGGCTTATCTCTTCCCACTTTTGGGCTCCTATAACGCCCTGTGAATCTCCCTATTTACAATCTAAACACTTTAAATTATCATCTATGAAAGCCATTCCTGCCTCCTCCCTCTATGCCCTAAGTATCTGTAGGGCGAAATCAGTTTTATTCTTCTTGGTAATCCAGAACATTGCTCATCACGTAGTCGTCACTGCCAAGTAGGTACTCAGCGACTGTTGAATGGATACAAAAGGCAAACAAAGGGCTAAGAATATAAAGTTATAATGGATTGCTAAAACACTGGTTCATTTTCATGAACCCCTTGAAAAGATGGACAAAACTACAGGAAAGAGGAAGAATGGTTGGTCTCTAGATTATTACGATTGCAGAGCATGCATAATGCATTCACTGCTATTCATCTGGATTTAGTATTAGTCCCTCCCAGCAGTATGCTCCACATACTCCCGGAACCCAGCAAAGTCATGGTTAAAAAGGAAACAGTAAGGATACAAGTTGCAAATACAAAGTGGATGAAGTCATTGAGGATAATTGAGCCAGGTTGTGACATACAATATTACACCATATCATATCAATTAATATGAATGTACATACACAGTGTCTCTCTCTCTATCCCTCTCTCACACACACACACATACACACACACACACACACACACACACACACACACGCGCGCGCGCGCGATTCTTTCAGGCTTATACCCATTTTCCTGAGTATTAGGAAGCTGGGTGTTCCATAGAGCTATTATCGTATGACCTCAGTCACTTAATCCCCCTGATTAAGCGTCCTTAAAATCTTGCTCTGTCACTGAGGCTGGAGTGCAGTGGTATAATCATAGCTCACTGCAGACTTGCACTGCAAACTCGAACTCCTGGGCTTAAGCAGTCCTCCTGCCTCAGCCTTCCAAGTAGCTGGGATTATAGGTAACTGGAATGGGAATACAGGTACATGCCACCATGTCTTAAAATTTAATAAAATAAGTTATTTTATTAAATTTTTTTAAGAGACATGGTCTTACTATGTTGCCTAGGCTGGTCTTGAACTTCTGGCCTTAAGCAATCCTCCCACCTTAGCCTCCTGAGTCACTGGGATTATAAACATAGGCCACCACCACTCATGGCTCAAGTGTTCTCATTTTTAAAAAAAAGATACATACCCTTTTCTTTCAGGGGTTTTGTTAGTTGAATTACATGAATATATTCAAACTGTAATCAATAGATATTAAGTACAATCATATAATAGTACTATTTTTTATGTCTCATAATATTCAAAGCAGTGCTAAAAAGCTATTTTATTTTATATTTTCACAATTGTTTTATATTAGTAACACAACATATGGACATGAAGAGACTGGGACAGTTTGGTGAAGCAGGAAGATAAGCAAGACTGTCTGGGAAGAGGCCATTAGACCAACATATTTGCCAGATATAGAAGTGGTATAGAGTTAGTGAGATGGAAGCAGTGTATTTTGACATAGCATTGTATAAACTTTACAGCAATTTCATCGATAAATGTTAACAGACTTAGACACAGTATGAATTTGAATTTGAATGCTATTATGTCCATTAAAGTTCTTTCTTTGGGTACCTTCCTGACCCACGACTGCTCAGCTTTGGCCCCGTGCTGTACAATCTGAAACCTATATTGTTGGTTCTACTTTCTCTACTGAGCTTCAGACCTAAGTGTCTAACTGCCTGACAACCAACTCTACCCCAAGTTCTATAGAAACTCAATGTGTTTCAAACTCAACGTGTCATAAACTGAATCCCCAAACCTACTTTTTCCAGTTTTTGTCAGTCAAATGAATGGAATCACCATCTACCGACGCCTGAAAACGTTTCATCTGTGACTTCTTCATCATCTTCAAAATCCTGTCAGTTACTTGCTTCCATTAATTCTCTCTCTTGAGTATCTCAAAATCTCCTCCTCTTCTTTCCCTTCCTACTGCTCCTAACTTAGTTAAGGCTCTTATATCTATTATCTAAGCCGTTATAACCCTAGTGAGGGCTATGTAAGATTAAACTCCAATTAAACCAAATTACACTTTATCTAAGAACCTTCTGTGTACTTTCACATGCCTCCACTCCTCCTTTTTGCTTGATCCAAACTTCAGTTTCAGTTAATTAGAACTCTTAAAAATATTTGCATTTTCATCTGCCTCCTATGTTAAGCACTGCCTTCCACAAGGCAAGAACCTTGTCTCATTTCTGTTTATATCCTCAGCAATAATAATACTACCTGCACTGTATTGGCATTAGAAAAATCTCTTGAATAAAGAGATTCTAGATATGGTAGAAGAAACAACTCTGGTTAAGAATAAGTTTGAATATTTTCATGTATTTTAAAATAATAATTTGTTCCATTCGATTGTAAATAATTTGAAAATGTGAAAATTTTGACTGTATAACTCTATTCTATGTTATTCCCTCCCTGTGCCACAGTAGTTTTCTTGAACTGGATTAAATTGCTTCAGGTATGTGATTTAGTGATGCATTTTCCCCATATTATACTTTTTTCCTATTTCATTCATTAAAGAGATGGAAAAACCAGTTTATTAAACCCTTTTAAAATCTCATGTTTTTGCCAAAATACTCACATAAAAAGGATTCTAGATCCCCCAAATTATCTTTCTTCTTATTTATTCTTTTACATTAATATAACTGGGTCTTAATCAAAGCCAATCTTGGAAAATGTCTTAAACACAAATAATATTGTGACATAAAAACCAGCAACAAAAGAGAAACTAAGACTCAAAAACCTGGATCAAAGTACTCCTCATTTCACATTCCAGATGGAATCATTTGTTTTCCTAGAGAGCCGGGACTTTGGGTGGCCTTTGAATAAGAAATGGCTTGACAAATGAAAGTGCCAGACTATTGCTACAGGAAAAAAAAAACAACTTTAGAATAATAAATTAGGGAGAAAAGCCTTAAAGAAAATACACTTAACAGATCCAGGAAGTGGTTTGATAGGCTAAAAGTCAACCAGCTAACCATCTATCGTGCTCATGTGTTTGCATGTGCTTCACACCTGCTATTCTTACTTCCATCCAGGAAGAGCTGCCATCAATTCCCAATTCAGCCTTTGCTACTGGGAAGGCTAGAGCAAAATCCAATGCTGTAGTCTACTAACTCCATATGTGGGTATCTGGAAAATAATATTCCATCTCTCTTTGATATTTTACTTTTCATCTTGTTTTTGCATTATTTGATTGTAGTTATATATAGCAGACTAAGATAAAACACAATCAGAAGTTAGAATGTAACAGTGTTACTTCTCTGCAGTTTATAGAACTTGTTCTTTAATTTCTTGTGCTACACTTCTTCCTGTAAAGGGCATTCAGGGAATAAGTCTCTAATGCACCAGGTATGAGGGATAAGAGGAGACTTGGCCCAGGAAATAATGGATGTACCAACTAAGGCAGTTAATATTTATTTTGATTTACAATAAAGTACGATTACTATTAATTCAAAAATACATATAATTTTAATATGTATCTGGTGGAACCAGATGTCATTTAAAGCAGGGAAATGTCTTTGGGAAAATAGGTTATTATGCTCTTTAACTTAGTTTAACAGATGTTTTAAAAAAGAAACAAAGTGTTCTGCATTGTTAATAATAATTTTTGAAACAGAGTTTGAAGATTAAGGAACAATGTGTTATTATTAAGAACTTCTAGAAACAGAGACGTCTGATATTACATTTGAAGTTTGGGTCAAGAGCCATGATGTAAACTCCTGCTCTACTTCCCTGAAGCCTTCAGTGAGTCTATTCTCATATTCTTGCCTTCAGGGAGGTGTTAGGTTGTTCTTATTGGTTCTTATTTTCTTTGTTTTGTTGACTTTCAGTGGTAAAGAGTCAGGCTAGAGGCTGATGCTTGGGTTGAGAAACTGTGAAACAGGAGTGTTTCATAAAGAGGGGCAACATGATCCATATACCAAGCTATTTTAGTGTCAATAACAGCGTGCAGCCCGAGAGAAACCATGACACTCGAAACCCATGAGGACATTTGCATAATTCTTGAGAGGAACATTGACTTTTCATGGGAGAATAATGTAATTCAAGGTGATTTCATCTATATATTAGGGGGTGAATGAAGACTCCATCTAGCCGGTAATCAAATGTGTGTTGCCTCAAATTCTTTTTAAAATCCCCAGGATGTATGAATTCAAAATATTTTCACACACATACATATATATATAAGTGTGTTTAATGCAAGAAATGTAATATATGCCATCAACCACAGAAAGTCTTCAGATGCAGATTGCTAAATTTTGAATTTATAGCGAATAAAGAATTGTAATATTCTGAAATACTGACATAAATGTAATGACATAATATAAAAGTAAACATAAAAAGGACAAAGAAGGTAAGAATTTCTAGTTCTATAAGCATACTCATGTGTATATTTGGTTTTATTGAAAACATAAAGTTTGATCTTTCACTACATTTCAGCTTCAACTGTTTTACTTCTTGATGACTTAGAATGACCCAGTACTGCTTAAGACACCTGTGGGAGGTGAGAGAATAATAGAAGACTGTTCCCTTTAGAAATGAGTCCAAAATCTGCTTGATGAGATGAAATTTAAAGCAGAGGTATTCTGAATAGCTTTACACCTCATGGAGTATTTATACACACATCATTCCATTTAACCTTCCAATGGTCCTGTGAGGTTGGGAGGAAAGGCAGTGCTCATTATCTTCATTTGAGAGGTGAGACTACCAAGGCTCAGACAGAGAAGTGACTTAAGCGTGACCATAGAGCCACATCTGACTGTGTTTTACACTATTCCACATTTCCCTGAATAAAATGATTAGAATGTGATTATATGTGGGAAGGTGTATACACCCTGTAGGCAAGGCAGGCAATTAGCCAGGGGAAAGCAGCATGTTATATACAAATATAATGTATATTTACACATAAAAACGGCTTGATTCTTTACTAAAAAGTTCTATAATCCTATTAACGTTTTTGTCTATATAAACAGCTGGTTGCATTTTGTTTTATTTATTTTTTGTTTAGGAGTACGTGTCTCTAGATGCACATAGCTCTACCAACAAAGCTAATCTAACAGTCATACTTGAGATGCCTCCTACCTTGCAAATTTCAAGGAATTTCTCACTGGTGTATTTCATAGGGTGCTCAGTGAAAGTAGCATAAGGAACTTCGGTGGACCATGGGTTCCAGCGGGATAGTAGGGACTGCTCCTCCGGACTCCCCCAGTAGATCCTAAGGCCTTCTCCTTGTCTCCTACAAGAAAAGAGTTTTCCATTAGATTAGTCATTTCCATCAGATTAGTCATTTCCATTAGATTAAAATTTTTAAAAAAAAGGGACAAGAAATTGAATGATGTAATATGTCAGTCAGCCTTTATATTGCTGACAAGATAGGTAGCTTAATTCCCAACTAGTTAAACTGTTCCAAGGATTTTAGGAGGTGAGAAAAAAAGGATGAATTTGGTTTCAAGCATAGGAAATTTAAGGTGTTTGGGGGAATCCTCTGTGGAAACACCTACTTGGAAATGTGAGTCTGATACTCAACAGAACAGTAGCCAGAGCTGGAAATATGGATATTGATGTCATGCCAAGATTCCGACGGTAAGAGTTAAAAGAGAAAGAGAGTTGGGAGGACGAGCAGGTGGATCACAAGGTCAAGAGATCGAGACCATCCTGGTCAACATGGTGAAACCCCGTCTCTACTAAATGCACAAAAAGTTAGCTGGGCATGGTGGTGCGTGCCTGTAATCCCAGCTACTCAGGAGGCTGAGGCAGGAGAATTGCCTGAACCCAGGAGGTGGAGGTTACAGTAAGCCAAGATC